CCATCACGAACTGCGTCGCAAATTTGGTTGGCCTCACCGCTCCCATGGTCGCCGGCCACGTGATCCACCTGGTCCCCAGCATCGAGAACTGGCGCATTGTCTTCCACATTGCCGGCGGTGTTTACATCTTCAGTGCCACCTTCTATAATCTCTGCGCCAGTGGCAAGCCGCAGTGGTAAAGAACGACGAATAAGCGCCATGTAACCAACAACAAAAATAAACAATAATAAAAAAAGAAGATATCCCAAACGAGAAGAGACGTGTGAGACGCATCTTACGCGTCACAACTTTAATACCCGGCACTCAGACAACATCCGTACCTTAGCGGTTTTTTGTCAAATTGTACATCTTTTCTTCATCTGTCATCTACAACACTTCTCACGCCAACACGCTCCTTTAGCTCGGTCCCCTTTCCTAGAGCCACACACTGCAGAGTTCCGGCTGAGGCAGAGGCAGATGCACGGCAGGGTCAGGGGCCGCACACTGCGCGAAGCAGAGTGTGAATGAGATAATGTGCAATGGGGTGGGTTTAGCCACTGCAAATTAATTTCTTCATTGTGGCTTTAATAATGATCCAATCGGATCCCAATTTGGTGATCTGATAGATATGGTCATACCCTGCGGTCCTTCCTGTTCTTTTATCTTCAAAAAGTTTAGGTTTGGGAGGTTTTCGCGTAGGTTTGTAATACACTTGCTACAGTGTGAGCAAACAGAAGTCTGGATGCAAAATTTGGTGGCTCCAACTTGCATAGTCTCTGGTATCCAGGCGCTCAACAAGATGGAAGGACAGACGGACGGACAGACAGACATGGCTCAATCGACTCGGCTATTGACGCTGATCAAGAATATATTTACTTTATGGGGTCGGAAACGATTCCTTCTGTGCCGTACTCCCCACAAATGCAATATCCCCTATTTACTCTTCGAGTACCGGGTATACAAAAAACACTTCCCTATGAAAAACACACAAAAATTCCCCATCTAAGTAGGCTCCGACTTGTGAAGTTGTTAAGGTCGTAGGCAGAGCCAGGATTTAGTTCATTCCAATTTTGTAACTCGTCGAGAACAGATCTAAATATTTATTTTGTTTTGCTTCGGAATTTTTGTGTGTAACTTTTGTTTTATTTTATTCAAAAATATCCACACGTTTCGCTTGTCATTGCATTAGTTTTCATTTGAGTCGAGAGGCAAAAGGCAAGAAATAAAGATGAGCAATAAGATCGGGAAAAATAAAGGAAGTCGAGGGCAAGTCGAGGACATTGAGATGGCCGAGCAAGTGGCAACCCAAAGGTAAGAGAAACAAATATCAATCAAATTCCGGAAAGCATATTCAGACAAAATGGAACATTCTAGCAGCACAGACGAGTTCGAACCCCTCGACTACGTGGCACAGCCAAATGGAAGCCTGCAAACACACCAGGATGCAGAGGGAGAGAAAAGGTACAGTTGGTAATTACATTTAAAGAATATATTTCCAAATCCTCCTATTAAATGCAGTAAAAGATCATCCATGGATTGCAAAATTATCCACAATTTTCTTGCTAAAACTATTGGGTGTGACATTTGTTGTCTTTGACATTTTGTGCAAAGGCAAACTAGATCGGAATTGTGATATGAAAAGACAACCATGCCAGTTTCTGCACTTAATTTGATTGATATTTCGCGGTGTATCGAGGGAATGCATAAAACATATCCTAAAGATCTTTTCTTACCATTTTACAGCTCTTTGCCAGCAGTTCCATCTGAGATGACCGGACATNTGTGTTTGCAGGCTTCCATTTGGCTGTGCCACGTAGTCGAGGGGTTCGAACTCGTCTGTGCTGCTAGAATGTTCCATTTTGTCTGAATATGCTTTCCGGAATTTGATTGATATTTGTTTCTCTTACCTTTGGGTTGCCACTTGCTCGGCCATCTCAATGTCCTCGACTTGCCCTCGACTTGCTTTATTTTTCCCGATCCTATTGCTCATCTTGATTTCTTGCCTTTTGCTTCGCGACTCAAATGAAAACTAATGACAAGCGAACGTGTGGATATTTTTGAATAAAATAAAACAAAAGTTACACACAAAAAATCCGAAGCAAAACAAAATAAATATTTAGATCTGTTCTCGACGAGTTACAAAATTGGAATGAACTGAATCCTGGCTTTGCCAACAATATCACAAGTCGGAGCCTACTTAGATGGGGAATTTTTGTGTGTTTTTCATAAGGAAGTGATTTTTTTGTATACCCTTTAGTCGAAGAGTAAATAGGGGATATTGCATTTGTGGGGAGTAACGGATGTTTGTAACGCACAGAAGGAAACGTTTCCGACCTTACAAAGTATATCTATTCTTGATCAGCATCAATAGCCGAGAAGATTTAGCCATGTCTGTCTGTCCGTCCGTCTGTCCTTCCATCTTGTTGAGCGCCTGGATACCAGAGACTATGCAAGTTGGAGCCACCAAATTTTGCATCCAGACTTCTATTTGCTCACACTGTAGCAAGTGTATTACAAACCTACGCGAAAACCTCCCAAACCTAAACTTTTTGAAGATAAAAGAACAGGAAGGACCGCAGGGAATGACAATATCTATCAGATCACCAAATTGGGATCCGATTGGATCATTATTAAAGCCACAATGAAGAAATTAATTTGCAGTGGCATTCTCTCATTCACACTCTGCTTCGCGCAGTGTGCGGCCCTTGACCCTGCCGTTCCTCTGCCTCTGCCTCAGCCGGGACTCTGCAGTGTGTGGCTCTAGGAAAGGGGACCGAGCTAAAGGAGCGTGTTGGCGTGAGAAGTGTTGTAGATGACAGATGAAGAAAAGATGTACAATTTGACAAAAAACCGCTAAGGTACGGATGTTGTCTGAGTGCCGGGTATTAAAGTTGTGACGCGTAAGATGCGTCTCACACGTCTCTTCTCGTTTGGGATAACTTCTTTTTTTATTATTGTTTATTTTTGTTGTTGGTTACATGGCGCTTATTCGTCGTTCTTTACCACTGCGGCTTGCCACTGGCGCAGAGATTATAGAAGGTGGCACTGAAGATGTAAACACCGCCGGCAATGTGGAAGACAATGCGCCAGTTCTCGATGCTGGGGACCAGGTGGATCACGTGGCCGGCGACCATGGGAGCGGTGAGGCCAACCAAATTTGCGACGCAGTTCGTGATGGAGATGAGGAGGCCGGCAAAGCGGGGCGACAGATCCAAATGGTTGATCTTGAAGCCCGAGTAGATGGCCCCATTGAGCCCGAGGCCCAGCACGAACACGGCGCTGGTGAGGACGAGGCTGTGCTGGAGGTAACCCACCACAATGAGGGCCACTGCCGGTCCGTACTGCCCGAGGCTGTTCATGATCTTCCGCGTGGTCGTAATGGAGAGGCGACGGCGAATGAGTCGATCCGCCACAATGGAAAATACGATGGCCATCACCCACATGGCCAGGTAGGGCAGCGATGAGAGCACACCGTTGGACTTGAGATCCACGCCGAGGATGCGGTCCATGTAGGTCGGGAGCATGGTCATCAGTGTCTCGTAGCCATAGTTCTGCCCGGCATGGGCCACCATGATGGCCCAGAAGAAGCGCGACCTGGCGAAGGCCAGGAACGGGGTGCGACCAGTGTCCTCTGGCTGGGCCTCCCAGATGCTGTCATCGATGTACTTGCACTCCGTCTGGCTGATCCCCTTGCACGACTTCGGACTCTCGTGCACCAGCCAGAACAGCGAACAAAATTGGTCGAAGGGCGGAAAAATGCTGTCCACGCCTTTTACCTGGCAGACCGAGCTGCTCTTCTTACCCTCAGACTTTTGGGCGGAGATAATATGAGAGGAATATGAACCATTAGCTCATTAGCTGCGATCCCACACCAAGAGGTGTGCCGACTCCTGTGGCTAGAATTTGTTGAAATGGTAAGTGTCTGTCACATAAAATTATACCCATGAGTGTAACAGTGGCAGTACTCAGTTTTCAAAAATTGATAGACAAAAAAAAACCACTTCCTTATGAAAAACACACAAAAATTCCCCATCTAAGTAGGCTCCGACTTGTGATATTGTTGGGGTCGTAGGCAAAGCCAGGATTTAGTTCATTCCAATTTTGTAACTCGTCGAGAACAGATCTAAATATTTATTTTGTTTTGCTTCGGATTTTTTGTGTGTAACTTTTGTTTTATTTTATTCAAAAATATCCACACGTTCGCTTGTCATTAGTTTTCATTTGAGTCGCGAAGCAAAAGGCAAGAAATCAAGATGAGCAATAAGATCGGGAAAAATAAAGGAAATCGAGGGCAAGTCGAGGACATTGAGATGGCCGAGCAAGTGGCAACCCAAAGGTAAGAGAAACAAATATCAATCAAATTCCGGAAAGCATATTCAGACAAAATGGAACATTCTAGCAGCACAGACGAGTTCGAACCCCTCGACTACGTGGCACAGCCAAATGGAAGCCTGCAAACACACCAGGATGCAGAGGGAGAGAAAAGGTACAGTTGGTAATTACATTTAAAGAATATATTTCCAAATCCTCCTATTAAATGCAGTAAAAGATTAATCAACATTTGTTGTCTTTGACATTTTGTGCAAAGGCAAACTAGATCGGAATTGTGATATGAAAAGATAACCATGCCAAACAGTTTCTGCACTTAATTTGATTGATATTTCGCGGTGTATCGCGGTGTATGCATAAAACATATCCTAAAGATCTTTTCTTACCATTTTACAGCTCTTTGCCAGCAGTTCCATCTGAGATGACCGGACATATTCCAACATCTGAGGAAATCCTTCAGATGGCAAAGAACGTCGAACCGGGTCGGCTCGATCTGGATCGGCCCGGCCCCACATCCTCTTACAAGAGACCCACAACCCATTACAAGAGACCCACAACCCCTTACAAGAGACCCACAACACCAAAACACTCCACACAGCCAAAACCGGCACAACCGGATGTGCCGCCTGAAGTAGAACAAGTCAATGCTCTGCAGAATAAATTGCCAGAGACCTCCCAGCAATTGGTTCCATACTCGCAGAAGCTGCCGAAAGAGCAGACAAGAGCAGTTGCAGTTGCCTCGGAGGAGGAGGAGCAGGTCTTGAACGTGGAAGAGCAACGGCAGCCTGCAGACATTGGAGATGTGCAGCCCAAGCCACAAGATGAAGCCGAGTGCCAGCAGTGGCTGCAGCAGACTAGCCAAATCCTGACATCCCAGTACAAGTCTCTGCTGAGGGAAGACCGATACCAAGTGGGCATTGGTTTCGAGGATGAAATTGAAAAGGAATCGACCTTGCAAGAAAATGGCTCCCAGCGGAGCCACCCCTCAATGCTGGACACTTTCGAGGACATTTGCGAGGAAACCACAAGCGAGCATCGCGATCCGCAGGCCAAAACATTGCGCAGCAAATGGGTTGAGCGATTTGGCGAGGGTTCGCGTCGAAACCTGTGCCGCAAGCTGGACACAAAACTTCCGACGGCCCGCTCACAGTTACTGCTCAGGTTTAATATAATGTCGCAACGGAAAAGGAAGACCTTGGAAACCCTGACCTTTCGGATTGAATTGAAGTATTCCAGACATTTTTGCACGCTGCACTTGAACCAGACAATCGATCTCAAGTCGGCGGCCAGCAAACTGCAACGATTCGGCAGCCTCTACAAGAATCACATCGATGTCCTGCAAAAGTACCAGAATCATCACCAGTACTCGGAGCTATGTCGGATATCGTGGCTCTGGCCAAATGGCACCCTAACTACCATCAATGGCTGTCACGAAGACAAAAGAGATTTGATCGATGTGCAGGAGAAACTACTGGCCCCCATATTGAATGTTCCCCACTTTAAAGCGGCTCCAGGGCACAACGCGCAGTACCTGCGCTTGCGGTCCACGGCCAATTTTGGCTTCAATATCGATCTAAAGAAGTTCGGCGAACGCTATGTGCTGTCCACCCACACGTGCCGCGATTATGTCTCTTCGCAGTATGTGTATTATGTGACCAGTGAAATACCAGGCGTGGTGGCGAAGCTGCATGACCATGGGCATGTCTACGTGTATGCCATGACCATCCAGGAGGCGGACAACTTGTTGATAGGACTATACCGCCTGATCTGCAATCACCGCATCATCGAGTGAATGCTGAGCCCACAGAGGACACGTAAAGGGAGAATATGTGTGGGAACTACCTGGAGCACCTACCAACCACAACGCTTAATGAGCCCACAAGAAGGAAAAACACTCCAAATAACACAGATAAATGCAGACACAAGCAACAGAAACTGATGCAGATGCAGATAGAAATACAACCATTCAGAATATATGTATCCCTTGTGTATATCCCTTTTGCTATCAGTGCTCGTGCGCTAGGAAACCTAATAAAAAGTCATAGAATTAGTAGTTCTAGTTTGCCTAGTGGACTTTTCTTTGGCACGAATAATCGGCTGTTGTCTTCGCATCCGTTTAGTTTGTCTACTGAATAACTAATAAATTGAAACCACAGTGTGGGATCGGGATCGGGATCGGGAACGGGAACACTCTGGTAAATGCGACTTTTCCTATAGGGTTCATTGGGGTCTGGATATGTGGCTTCAATTGAATGGCATGCCAAGTGGTGGAAGAGTAGCAGTAGGAGACCGTGGCTCGTTTGGGGATTTGGCCAATCAAGGGGAATCAATTTGCTGTGGCCGCGCCGCGATGTGTGGCGATTGTGTCCAATGGCGAAATGTTAATTAAAGCCCCTGAAATACGTGTTTAATAATTGTTTTAATAACTTTAGCTATTTTTGTTGCTACTGATGCATGCCAAGCAAGGCACACACACACAGCCAGACACAAAAATGGTGAAAAATGGCAAATGGAAATGAAAATTTGATTTGTCTGCATTTTAATGAGTTGTGCCCACGGCAAAACTTCATAATTATGCGAGTGTGAAAATAAAAAACAAAAGCTTGTAACCAATTGATTGGCGGGCACTGGGTGGGATCGCAGATGTGGCACAGCTGCCGCGGGGGGTGGAGCACTTCCTGCGGCTCGCCTAATTGGAGCATTCATTTAACCGCGGAAGGGAGCGACGCGGATCATTAAAGCTAAACTAAAACGGACTCTATATGGAAAAAATAGCAAATTGCTTTTACCCTGAGCACACACGTGGCAGTGCATGCATCCACCACATGTGTCTGTGTGTTTGTGTGTGTGTTTGTGCTGCATCATCAAATATTTTGCCATGCTCCTTTTTGCTGGCTTAGGATGCCCAGCATGCAAATTAGCCAAAAACGCTAAATGGCTAATTCAATTAAAATTCCATGGCAAATAATAAAAATTAAACAAGCTGTGGGGGTGGCGGCACATATATTTATGTGGGCGTGTCTGGAAGTAAATCAACACGAACCCAACAACAAATCTCCCAGCGAACCCAACCAATGAAGTTTATGCTTTTTAATTCAAAATGTTTCGAGCACTCAGCAGCTGCCAAGGAGGTGTGGGAGGTGTGGGCATAATCGACACATCAATACCCTCGACGCGGACAGTCCACGGACAGTCTCCGACTTCTAGGTCATATTTAATGCCAGTCCTCTGCCAGTTTCTCCTCTCAGTTGAAGCTTGCGTAGAGTGTGCATACCCAGCCGCTACCCTCGCATGATGTGCGCCGGAAAACCGCATTATGCGCAGGTCTGACCCAGGTGCGCATTTGGCTATTTAAAAATTGGTCAGCGGTCATAAATTTCACCCGAACAGAGTGTAGGTGTAGATGTAGCTGTTCTGTGTGTCTGTTCTAAATGAAATCAAGCATGGCCTGATGAATGGGCGATGGGTGGCTGGTGGGTTGCAGCTTCCGGTCAATGTTACCATGTCCATGTCCATGTCCATGTCGGCGTCCGTGCTTATGTTCATGTTTCTGCTTCTGTTTCTGTTTCCGTACTGCTGCCATTGCAGTTTAATGCGTTTTTAAAGCGTACGAAAATTATGTGCCATGCCCCAGAGCATGGGAATGCGGGAAGGACCAGGTCGGGTGTGGCCCGGTCTAGTTTTAAGCCGAAACATATAAAATAATTTATGGCAAATTATAAATATACATCTACATGCACCCATACACACACACATATATAAATTAGTGTCTGTGTGTGTGTGTGTGTGGGTGTGTGCGCGTTGCCGATTCTTGCGCGAGCGATGTGGAAAAATGGAAAATGGTTTTGCATTCAATGAATTTTATTGGCATATAATCCGCCTAGAATGAATAAATAATCAAAAGTGAAAAGAGCTTACAATGAACCATAAAGAACTGATCGCTGTTTCATCCAGATTTCGCGATTATTTAAGGCGGATTTCAGAATGCCAACAAAAACACCAAACACGCAGCATTTTAAGCGAGTAAAACCAATCGAATGCATTTCCAGCAATTAAAATATCCAACACATTGTATTCACAGCTGCGGCGTTTAAAGTAGCACCATGAAAATAATTTTTTTCTTGAGATATTTTGTTAAAACAATGGTTCCAATGAGCGTTTTTAAAACTATTATATCAACTTTGAGGCTTAATTCAACTTATCCAAGAGAAATGGTATGCTTTGACGGCTTTAGTTGGAAATATTTGGAAGGAAAAGGAATTATTCCGGTAGCTCAAAAAACTTCAAATTTATAAGAAATTTACTCAATTTATCATTACTATAGTTTACTTTAATTCTATTCAAAGGTTAATAATTTGTTTTAAAGCTTTTGGCAGCAAAAAAAAAAAAGACTGAGAGTCCTGTCATAAAATGTAACCTTATTTTCGAGTTTTTCCTGGAGGACTCATCCACAAATATGGCAAAACCCCCCAATGTCAAACTCTTTCTTTGATTTCGTATTAGAAACGTATTCTTTAACTGTTCCCCCATGGTTCCCTATGGTTCATATCTGGGGACTGAGCAAGAGAAAACATTGCATAAAAGTCACAGTTTTAAAACCCCTGAGAGCTCTCTATCTGGTCTGTTTTGGGTCATTTCCCTGATAAAAAGACACAACTCAACGGCATTTTCTATTGCATATAAGGCAGCATTATTGTTTTATTTTATAATAACAAAGACATGTTGTTCATCATCGATTCCAGCACGGGTACTTTACATACCATGATTCCTGTCTCAGCATTATTATTATACCCGGTACTCGAAGAGGGTATATTGGGTATATTGTATTTATGCACAAAGTGAATGTACATATGTAACGCACAGAAGGAAACGTTTTCGACCCCATAAAGTATATATATTCTTGTGTAGTATGTGCATATATTGAGGGTACACTGTACCAAAAAAGTTAGCATAAATATATTGCAAAACCATTTCGAGTGACCGTGTAATATGATCGCCACTTATGAGCTAATCTAAGTCAACAGTCACGCGCTGACCACTTGTAACACGATTATGCCTACAAGACAAAATATGTATGAAGCCTCTCCGCTGCTGGCGTAACCGGCAGCGCAGCTGTGCGGCTTAGCTATAAGAATATATTCAATAAAATATTCAGAAAACAAAAGTCAAACGGCACAGAATCTTTTTTTAGACTGCACCCATTACTGTCTGTCTGTCCGTCCGTCTTGTTGAGCGCCTGGATATCAGAGACTATGCAAGCTGGAGCCACCAAATGTTGCATCCAGATTTCTGTATGCTCACACTGTTACAAGTGTAATTCAAAAAGGAGCCCCGCCCCCTTCTGCCCTCGCAGAAGGGCGAAAACCTAACAAATCTAAAATTTTGAAGGACCATATCCATCAGATAACCGAATTGGGATCCGATTGGATCATTATTATAGCCAGAATGAAGGAATTAATTTGCAGTGGCTAAACCCATCCCGTCCCGCATTTTGTTTTTCTTTTTTGCACATTCTCTCATTCACTCTCATTCTAGGGAAGGGGTCGTGCCAAAATTGTGAGAATTTATGTAGATGTTGATGACAGATGAAGAAAAAATGTAAAATTTGACAAAACACCGCTAAGGTACAGATGTAGTACTGAGTGCCGGGTATAAAAGTTGTGACGAGAAAGAAGCGTCTCACACGTCCCTTCTCGTGAGATATAAATATGTGTCAAAGGGTTGTGTTTTTCATTTGGTAGTCGTTTTACATAAGATCTAAAGTTTTTGCAAAAAAAAAAAATTTGTCACCCTCCGTATCACAGGATCCATATTCATATTTGTTTGGGCCAACTCGTGTTTTTTCTACCTTGTATTTACTTTGAAAGACTACAGACTTCGAAACTTAATTTTTATTCTTTGAAGCAAGATCTAGCTTTGCTTATCTTTGAAATTTTTTTAGGATCCCTTTTAACTTTTGTGGACGGCTTAAAAGGACCCCTCTTGCGCTCAGGAAGCAGCATTTTCAACCGAAATGTGGATATTGCGCCAATTCTTTTACGAGTTTCTTGTTGGATACATGTTTTAAAGCAATACGAATCATTTTAAATGAGGAACCATTTTGGCTTTTTTCTTCCCTAAAGTGCTTTCGACGACCCAAAACAACTAATATTTTGTACCTA